ACACCCCATCTCTAGTTACCTTCTTTCTCCGTCTTCTTTCATGTATCACCCCATCTCATAACCATGTGCCATGTGCCACCCACGGACCACCCATATGCCACTTTTCTTCTTTGTTCTCATGGACTAATATTCATATCCTCATGGACTAATATACATATAGACATCCATATGTGATGGACAATTTAAGTTAGGGGCCCACTTAGTGAGTTTTAGAAAAATGATATGAGATTTAAAATCTAAGAAAAATGATGTGTTTTGAAATATGAACCAAAAGTATATAAAGAAAAAAGGAAATCAAAGTTAAGTCACCAAAAGTGTAAATAACATTCTAATATAGACTAATTATAAATTTAAATAAAAAAACAAATTTAAAAAATACGTGAAAAAATCTACAAAACTAGAAATGACATAACTATATTATTTTATCAAATGAGCAACGAAAATACGCTAATAAAGTGAATAAAATTTGACAATATGAATAGTGAATGTAAACATTATTGTTAGATGGAAGGAGTATTTGATATCGAAGCCGATATGGATTATGGAGTAGCTGAGGTTTTTGACAATGGTATCATTGTATTTATCATTTTTGCACCAAAAAATCAATTTAACAAAAAAAAGGTTCCGGAATCCATATCGCCTTTATAACCGGAGTGAGTAATGATAAGTTCTTCATTTGTTCAAAAAGAACCCCAAGATCAGGCACTGAAATCTTACAAGATAAGATACACATTAGGGGGTTGGGCCTCCTATGAATCAAATTCAACATTAATCTCAGCAAGTTTAATTGCAAGGAGGGTTACACTTTCACCTTTTGTTTCAGTAGTTATGCTCTCTTATCTTCCACGTGAAACTTGGGTTCGGGAACAATATTTCGATCCGAGGAGGCAAATGCTTCTTCACATCCAAATGTCCGAGAGCCGAAGACCGGTTTAAATCCAAAGTTGAGCTTTACCAATACAGATGGCATCGCCTTTTAGCGGTTTGAATCAAAACTCACAAACAAGTTTTATGGGGATAGACGCAAACTTTTGCTCTTCTTAGGCTGCCTGTTTTTCACTTGATGTGTAGTAGAGCATTTTCTGCACATAAAACATCATATACCCTTGCGAAGCCCTTACCATACTTTCACTTACCCGCGTGATCCATGCGTCATCACATTTGTACCATTGATTACTCAACCTCAAATATGTCACGTAATGCCCGGCATCAAGATTCCCGTTATGTGTGATGACAGCAAACAGTTCAAACTCCGATGTAATTTCAGTGGACGATGACTCTTTTTCTTCGTACCCATCATCAAAGGAGAAAAGTCTATTTCCGAACCGGTTCCTCAATATAGAGGAAGATAGATATGGTGCCATGTCCAAGGAAAAAGGAAACTGCAGGTAGCGGTCAATCTTTCTGGACATTTTCCGGATGTGGGAGTGCTCAAATCTTTTGATATGGAAACATGAAACCAAGGGCAGTTTGCTTATGGACATCTGTTTGAGGGACTCCTGACTAACTTGACACTGTTGGCAGAAAAACTTTTGGTCTGACCCTAACTTTTCAGGTCTTGTAAATCGGTCTAAACACCCTACCAAGGTAGACATTCCACTGTTGTTGCTAGAACTCACCAAGTCTGCTTGTTTATTGTTAGAGTGATGAGATGATTTTGTTGATGCCACCTTTCCGGGAGCGTCTCTGTTCGGTTCCAAATCCAATGAGATGTCAACAAATGGGTCAAACGTTGTGGATGTGAATCCACAGGCCGTGCACATCACATCAGACCGTAAGATTCCAGAGAATACTTTATGAGCAATACAGCAGTTCCCACTGCCTGCGTCAAAAGAGAATTCCAATTATATCATCTGGTAAAAAACAAAAGGTCAGGTTTCATACTCCATACACATCATTATGAATTGAGGCGGCATTTTTGAAATGATGAAACCCAGATTTTATGTACCATGCATTTTGCCAAAAAAAGTCTCTTTTTTTCCACAACAGAAAATGAGTGAAGACTCAAATCTAAAATCTAAATTCCAAGAGTATTGCCCAACTTGCAAAGTGTCACGTTTGCCTACAATGAAAATTTAACTTGTGACAACCTAGCAGCACAAGGTTAGCTATGCAAAGATTGACAAAGGATTAAGGAGTACAACTGAAGATTGAACAGTCTGAAGGTACCAAAGTTTTAGATTTTCAAAAATGATGTCATGAATGAATTGCGAATGGATATAGGCATGTGCAAACCCAGCAGAGGCTGCAAACTTCAAATTCTCTGCAGCCAATGATTTCAGCTGTCCTGAAGTAAAGACCCTAGAAAGGTAGAGCTAGAAATAAGCATGACAGAGGATGAGGCACAAGAAAGATCCTAGGCTTAACCCAATCAGACTTAAGAATTTGACACTTAATTAAGAAAACAGAAACTTGCAATTTGAAAAAATAGCTCTAAATCTGTTTTTCCAAATACCCAGCAGAATTGAAAAGCAGAAGTAAATATTAACATATATATGTACAAAAGCGAAACATGCACATTACATAAATATAAGATCTAGAAGGCCAACAATCACTATGTGATTGATCAACAGGACAAGTGCACTTAAAGTACTTAAAATCTCATACAATGGGAAAAAAAGTGGGGAAAACCTTCTTCATAGTTTCAGTAATTAGCAAATTACCAGGATCATGAGGCTTATGATTATCATTATGCAACCTTTCATGAAGTGCATCAAGAATGGATATGAAAAACTCATGGGCATCCTGTTGTTCATAACTTGCTAGGTTATTTGCATGTTGCCACCAGCTGTCCCAAAAATTATGAATAAAAACAAATTAGACCCACAAAAAAATCAAAATCACATAAAGCTTATTCTATGTTCAAAAGGTTACAAAAAATGGAACTTCAGCCATTAATTTCTAAAGTGGGACAACATTGTCATTGTGTAGACTAACCCTATCAGAGACGAAGAATGTATGCACTATTTCAAAAAAAGAGACTAAAAAAAATTAATAACAACTAACAATTTTTTGCAGCTCAAAGGGTCCATTGTTACTGACACCTAAAAAATGATGAACACACAAAAAACCCGAATTCAAACCTGTAAAGGAATTTTGCAGGGCTATATGGAATCTGCTCCCCGGAAAAAACAGCAGAGAACATCGCGTCCAAATCACATGCCAAGCAAAACTTCACGCTTTTTTTACTTTCTCCTGATCTTGTGATCATACTCCTACTACTTGTTCCCTCACAAATAAATCGGTTATGCATATCATTCAAAAAATAATTCCTTAATGGTGCAGCACGCAACAATGCTTGCAACACAGAGTTCATAAAGCAGGTATTGCCAAGATTATTAAGGCCTCTCAATCCCCAAGGATGGTCTGGTGAGCGAGATTCATCTCCGGCTTGAGTGGATAATGGCATAGACTCGTCTACAATCAAGGCTTGCTCATTCAGATCAGGTAACTGCGGTTCATAATCCACACGCCTCCGCTTTCTAACACTCTCCTGCAGTGGCTGCAGCTGATGGCTGATAGAACCAATCATGGTAGCATTGGTCTGAGCTAAAACCACAGCAGCATCAAAATCAAAATCATACACCTGGTCACGGCAAGAGCAACAGAAAAGCTCACCGCGATCAATGTCAACAGAGAAGTGGTGCAATGACTCAGCCGCGTGCGGCAGCGCGTGCAAGTGGCAGAACACAGAGGGGCAAGTCACACACGCATACAGCCGCGGCCCAGCCAGCCCACATGCCCCACATCTAACAACAGGGTCGCGGCGGATGGACGCCCTCCACAGGGGCTTTACTCTCAGGCACTTCCGCAGATTCTGGAATAGGCTGGGCACGAATTTGGATCGGATCATGGGGAAATGCGGGCAGTTAGCATTGCTTGTGAAAGAACCCACCAAAGACTTGATTCCGTTCCGATTTCCTGACAGGTGGGTTTCTAGGTCAGGGTTTCCCGATTGGTTCCGATCAAGAATGGATCGCGGGATTTGATAACCATGGTTTCCTGAGCTAGCTGACGATGACATTGATGGGGCTGGAAATGCGGAACACGAACCAGATCTTATCCGGACGAAAATCAAGCGAAATGGGTATGAGATTGACTGCGAAGGTAATGAATCAAATAAACTAAGATCAAATATGAACAATAACTTACTTTCTCATTAGAGTAAAGGATTAATTAGAGGTGCAACCCTATAGAACAGATCCTGTTCAAGTAAGGTCACAAAATGAATAATAACTTGGATGGAGTGATGAATTGATAATTGGAAGGGATATATTTTATTGGCGGATGGCTGAGTACACTCTAGAAATCTGAAAAGGAATATGATCCAGATGAAGCATAACTCTTCCAGGTTCACAGCCGGGATTATGCAGGAATTTGGAGTTTATCATATACTCCTCGAAAGAAGTAAAATAACACGTACACCATCCCACCCAATTTTGTATAGAAACTAGACTCGAACTTGTTCTTTGCACGACCTAATTATAAATTATATAATTAGGGGAAACATGGATATAATTAAGAGATTAAGTTTGGATTTTGCAAAAATACGTAATATACATTTAAGAGGATGCATTTTACAATTAATGCAGTATGAGGAAGAATACAACTATAAGTTTTGGAAAACTTCCTTATAAAGGATCTTCACTACAAATCAAAATCTTTAATCCACTGCGATTCGTGACTCGTGATAATGCCACGTAAAGTTGTCCATGACTGAACACAGGTTTCTTTAGTAAGAGCCCAACATGCGTCAATGATTGTCCTGACTTTTATTAATCGTCATAGCATAAAATATCATAATCGGAAACTGTTTCCTTTGAAATTTAAAAGGAATTCTGGTATCCGATGGTGTAAGCAACAATCGCGGGATAACAACTTCTTGACCAATATTCTTCCCTGTCAAGACCTTACCTTGAATTAGATGATTGCCAAGTCGTGTAACGATCAACCTTGTTCCATTGCACAAACCTGACGACTGGTCTATATTCCTCAACAACATCACCGGTGTCCCAATCTTTAACTTCAATTCATGGTTTGGGACCCCAGATGCTCGGGTTATTTAAGAATTCAGGAGAATGCATGTCACTTAAGAAGTCTGTGGATGCTCGACACATGTAAATACATTATGTGTTAAAAACAAAAAAAAATAGTTCTTTTTTTTTCAAAATTCGTCACCTTTTTTTTAAAATTGATAACAGCATCATTTTTTTTCCTTTTTAAACAAAATAGTTTTTTTTTGAAATTGATAACATTTTTTAAAAAAAAAACAAAAAGAGTTTTTATAAGTTTAATTATTTTGGCAAAGAATCGTTTTTAAAACCACATGCTCCGATACCAAAATGTAACACCCCAACCCGCGTAACCCGAACCAACGGGTTAGCGAACCGGGTTGTTACTAAATTGGTATTCGCATGCATATTTTTTTTAAAACAAATAACCAACTGATTAAATTATAAATTCATCCGTGGGAGCTTAAAGCTAAACCAAAATTTATCGGAGTAATAAAACAAGTCCAAAAGTCGCGGAAGCATAATTAAACCAAAGTAACGTCCAACAATCCATATAAGCAAATAAAATAATGTAGTTTTATTACTAAAGTAAACAAGAGCCATCCACGCCACCACCACTTCACTGCCCTCCGGGTTGCCCATCAAATTCGGTGTTCCTACCTGCGTGCAGTCAAACAACAACGACTACACGCTCAGCGAAACGCTGAGTGAAAATATACCTAAGCCAGCATTAACTCACAGAATAGCACCACATTAACATACAATCCACAACAGCATGTGATCACGGTAGAAAAAAAATAGCTTAAATAAACATATTTATATTAACACCTTTCATTTGAACGTCATGTCCTTATTTTATTCCACATCAACTACTTTGAGTCATGGCACCCCAAGCGATGCTATAAAAGGGCCAGCTCAGAAACCCAAAGGAGATTCACTTTGGGCGGGTTGAAGCCCCTGTCCCTACGATGCCAGGACAGGTCGCGGACTTCCGTACGTACGTTTTTAACCCAAGACCACCGGGGGTGCGACGACGCCCCGCAATGGCCAATTTCCTAACCATATCCTATTGGTGATTCAATCAGTCAATCCAATTCAGGTCCCGCCTAATTAGACTAGGTGGCCTATTTCTCATATATTATTCGTAATCCACAATATTCACCAATAACATAAGTTTAATTTAAATCTCAGTTCACAATTCACAACAAATCACGTAGCGGCCTATCCGGGCCGAAGACCCNACCCCCGCCGGTAGCCTCCCCGGCTGCCCAAACCCAAAGCCAGACCAAACAGCCCCGATGGGTGATTCACAGCAACCCGAACAGTACATCAATTAACCCAAAATAGTTCAATCACATCCAATTGCACCCAATTAAATCCAAATAGCCCAATTGAACCAGATTGAACCCGTTTGGACCCAATTAGACCCAATTGCACCCAATTGGACCCAATTAGTTCCAATTGGATCCAATTTGTCCAAATCTAGATGCTGCCCTATTCCGGCCACCTCGCCGCCGCCGTTGCCGGCGGTCGCCGGAGGAGATGACGGAAAACAGCCCCCCCAACACAAATTTCATAATTTCAACACAACATTCACAATTCTCATTCAAATTGAAAGATTATACGCTAAGGAAGTTCTAATCTACGAATTAACGCTAGCAAAAGGTATAGAAACCACAAATCACCTCGAAAAACGACGAATTGAACTTGAATCGGAGTGAATTCGCCGCTGCAACTCTTCCCTGGTTTTGCCGGCCTGCTGCGCGTGACGGAGGGATGAGGCGAGGACGTCGGTCAGAATCCCTAGCGTCGACGGCGACGACAGCGGCGAAGGTTCTCGACAGTTGCTGCGGCTGCTGGCTCTCCCTGTCAGACGAACGGAGAACAGAGGCGAAACGGACGAAGTGCTTAAGTCTCGTAACTCCCCCACTCCCTATTTAATTTAAATTTAATGAAATTTTAAGGTCCAGTTTACACTTCGTAACTGGTTATGATAAATTTAGGCCCAATTACCTCATTCGGCAGTCGTATCTTGGGCCCTGTAAGTCCGATTCTCAATCCATTTGTGCGGTCGGGTTCAGAACAGCGTGTCGTACAACGTAGGTCAACCCCCATATTAATTATGCAAATTAGAAAATAATCTTCGTATTGATCGGCCCAATAATTAATTAATTATACAAATTAATTAAAATACTAAGCCGAGTTTCGGGGCGTTACATAACCTCACCAACCCCATCATTTTCCTCCCGAGCCAGTCCATCGCCGATACTTGCAATCCACTTGGCAAATTCTGACATTGCCTCAAAATTGTTATCTTGGGCCATGTGTTGCAAACGCATGTTGGTCGTCAAACGTAGTACTGTACAATATTCCCACAGATATGATGAATTAATCGTAGCATTGACAATGTCTTGTCTCCGGCCTTTAGGAATCACTGGAAGTATTTGTCTAAAATCTCCTCCAAAAACAATTGTCTTCCCTCCAAATGGTAGCTCAGAATTGGCTCAATTGACGACACTCATCACATCACGTAAACTTCTATCCAAAGCTTCAAAATAATATTTATGGGTCATTGGAGCTTCATCCCAGATGATAAGTTTGATTTGAACCTATAAATCCGCCAATGGCATCTTTTATTTAATGTTGCATGTGGAATTTCATGAGGATTGATTGGAATTCCGAATCGTGAATGCACAGTTCTTCCTCCCGGTAACAATAGCGATGCAATACCACTTGAAGCAACATTTAACACGATATCTCCCCTTGAACATATGGAGGCAGACAAAGTTTTCCAAATGAATGTCTTTCCAGTTCCGCCATAGCCGTAAATGAAAAAGACCTTCCCCTGACCCCCATCAATAGATGCCATTATTGTTTCATAAGCTGAATGTTGTTCGTTGTTCAACTCCACCATCATCCTTTGATGTTCTTCTTTTAAGGCAACGTGATCATAATTCAATTTGTCAAGAATTAGTCTGTTCCGAGATGTAGAAGCAGCATCTAACTTTGGGAATGGCATGTCAATGAAATCTCGAAGGCTCTTAGCTCGCATCCTCAGTAAGCACTCTATCTCGATCAAGGTGTAATTCTTTATTTGATCTTCACTTAAGACTAAATCTGCGCATGAGAAGTAAATATATTGGACTTGGTAGAATTCTTTAAAAAAAACTATTAGTAGATAATTACCTTGATGATTAAAAAGAGTTCTTTGACGATATAAGATGTCATCAACCATGTAATTCCAGCAATGTTCCCATACATGCTTAGGCCTGGACATTGACTCGTTAGTCAACAGTGTGACAAATAAGAATCTCAACTGTTTGGCAGAACACCATTCACTTGCTTTGTTGAAAGCATCAATGTACTCCCTATCATCGTCTAGTAATCCCATGGCATAGCATGCGTCACGATAGGTCTCATGAACAACACCGTTCACAGTTCTCAAATCTTCGTACGAAGTTGGACCTCTAACTATATTTAGAAGAATCCTCATATAATAAGATTCGCTAGACCGATAGCAAATCCTCTCAGTCGAGGTTCATACTCTCTTTTGGCTTGTTTCCAAACGAATTTATGAGGAAACTCACCATACGTTAAAGTTTTTGCATCGTGATATTTTTCATTGGCCTTCATCCAAGCTAGGAATTTACTTTCACGTATGCTTTCTCGAGTATAAACCTCACCTACACCATCATCATCTTCAAAGAAAATCCATTGCTCACCAGGCAGGTGAAAGCTCAAGCGTTCAACATTAGGACACTTAAATTGAATTGAAAATCCAAATATTCGCCAGGTTGCCTCGCAAGGGGATATGTACCTGCAATCGTAATATACTTTAATTTCATTAGGAGTTTCTGGAGTTTGATTCTCCCTCGTTTCAGTGCTTGCATAAAAGCCAACTGTAACACGGTCGTGGCCTTTGTTTATATACTTGAACAAATATTTGATAGAACGCGATTGATTGCACCATTCCACATTGAGGTGAGCCCCATACTTGAGCAAGGGATATCTATTAAGCGGGACCACAAATCTATTATCCAAATGAACATTGTTCTTCATTATTGTTCGGCCATCATTCCTTCTCCGATATTTTGGGTAACCATCATCATCAATAATCGTGTTATCGTTGAATAACTTTGGGAAGTACTTAGAGCACTTCCCATCCTTCATGCAAGGAGATCTCGGTGCATCGCTTCCACACGGTCCGTGAATCATAAAGTCTTGAACTGCGTTAAAGTACAATGGATCATTAATCTCATCAGGCAACTCAGCAGATATTATTTCATCAATATCCTTAGGCGTTGGATACTTATCCTCTTGACCCAAGAACAATAAAATGTGTGCATGTAGTAGTCCACGCTTCTAGAATTCCACAGTGTAAACAACTACAATATAGCAGGGGCAACATGAGATGAGAAAATGACGATGATTTTTACATGACAAATAGCATATTGTATAAATTATTAAAAAATACCAGCTCTTAGTCTTCCAAAAATCTAGTTCTTCTTCAAATCCTTTATCAGTCCATTGAGCTTCATGTTGAAGACTCTAGAAATCACATCTGGACGATCTTCAGGCTTCAAGTCTCTCTTATTCAAGAAACGCTCAATTTCGGGCCATTTTGGGTTACATGTGAACGTAAGAAACAGATCAGGATAGCCGGTCCAGCGACAAATTGCCATGGCATCTTGATAGTTTTGAATCATGTATCGGGCACCCCCACAAACGTAGGGGGTACTACAATCCTTTTCCCTTTGGTGGCCGTATCGTTATCGCCTTGCACTAATGAATCCTAGAATCTATTGTACATGTCACAACATAATTTTTTTGGTGAGTACTGATGTACGTCAATCTTGAAGACTCAATTATCGTATAACCATCCACACACAACTCTTGAAAAACACGACGTGCTCGCAATATGAATGTACTTTCATTACTCCTTTCGTGTAAACGATAAGACAGAAATTCTCTAGTGCTCACACTCCTGGGTCCCCCGACCTTCAGGTCTGTTTTCTCAACAAAGGGTATATCTTCTCGATAACCATCATCTCCGTATGGGAACAATAATGGATATTAAAGACTTAGATAAGCGGGATTTAACTCACTAATCCGTTTCAAAGGTCCAGATTGGGTTTGGACTAAAATATCCCGCTCTCCTAAAGCTTGATCCAAGTCCCCTATAATTAAGGCCGCCACTTCGCCTACGGATGGTAAATTGTAAACTCGCGGATCAGAAGTTCTCTTCCCAAGTAACTTCAGTTTGTATTCCAAACTACTTGACTCATGTATCATTTGCCCAACAATCCGAAAGGACTGGACTAAGACATTGTGAGCATCCAACATGCATTTTAGCTTTGACACAATCTCAACATGAAGCGTTTGCACATCATCTTCAGGCCTATACATTATATAAGGGAAATTTTAGAATGGACTTATGAAAAGAAGCTTTAAAAGTACACAATATATTTATATGATGGGAATCATATATAATTTGAAAATCTAAAGAAATTATATGGTAAGAAATAAGTACCTCAAAGCCCTAATTCTGTTGAAATCTTCATTTTGAGTGTCATAAATGTATAATTGTGCAAATCTGGGAAGTAATCCATTGGATGCTAGCAAGCTCCCAATTTGATGGAAATTTTGCCCGCCCAGTTTAAACGTTGGAGGTCCTCTACCAAGAGTTGAATCTCTAATTATCCGCCTACCCAACGACGTGAAAGAGAACATGCAATTATAGGATCTAATATTTGTTTGAAAGTGCCTACATTGGGGATTATTTCCACTAATGAATTCTTTGAGTGGAGACGGTGGTTCCTTGACTGGAGCTAATTTAATCTTTCCATGCTTACAATACAAAGAATACTTTGGATTTTTCTTGGTAGAGTGACTTACCAAATGCTCACGGCCAGGGTGGGGGCCGGGGGTGTTACAAATGGTATCAGAGCAACCCTGCGACCGTGACGGGCCAGAAGAGCTTAGTTCACCTAGCGGGGAAGATCTAAGGGTTTAAAAAAAGGATGCAACGAGGACGTTGCATTCCTAAGTGGGGGTGAATGTAATGCCCCGTATCAAGATGGGAATGAGAAGAGCTCAAAAAGATTGATAGTACTACTCATACCAACAAGGTGCATCTTCTTTTCGAGAGCTCATTACCTAGAAACTCCAAGGTTAAGCGTGCTTGACTTGGAGCAATTCTTGGATGGGTGACCCCCTGGGAAGTTTTCCTTGGGCGCGCACGAGTGAGGACAAAGTGTGCAGGAAAGACGTGTGTTGGTTTGTGGGGCCAGTCAAAAAACTTGAAAACATACTAATGTATGTACTGCTATCTCCATTCACTGCCCATGTTCAAAACTACTAATGTATAAAACTTGAAATATGTTAAAAAAATACGAAATGTGAAGAATAAATGTATTAATTTTACACATATGAAAAAAATTATGCAAAACATACCAGCTTCAAATGATCGTTTGCTACCTCTACTTGCTTTTTTTTGTGTTATACAATTTTGAGGTTGAGTTGTGCTACCAGGCGAATCATGATGAAGACGAAGAGTATCGATCAATTGGTGTACAAACCATCACTGAAAATAAAATGAATAGGAAAATTATATTCTGAATAAACTCAATTTTTTAAAATTATGTAAGACCTTGAAATGAATTTTTACCATTTGTTAAGTTGCTCAATGGCGATGTAGTATAATTTTCCATGTCCTTTCGGCACCTTCTTTCATTCTCATTAGCGGTATTGGAACTTCCATTTTCTATATAATTTGTAAAATTGAAAATATAACATACAAATTAATATAGTTTATATTTACTTAAATAACATTAAGGCTTAACATGTCATTAATTTTAAATAATCGGTAAACAATGGTGAGATAATACAATACAATAATACCAATGCCCAATGAAATATAAATAAGTAATAAAAAAACATAATGGTGGATCTTGGCAAATAAAACAACCATTGATGTCTAACAAAATGATTAGCGTCTTGCAATATTTAGGACATTACACATTCCTTATACACTACATAATTATCGTTACAAAATAAACTAACAGTGACGCTAAGTTTCAAACAAAAAACATAAAGGAAATAAATAGTCGTCACTCCAATACATCTTCTAGGTTAATAAAAAAGAACATAGTCATCGTTGAAATATTTCCTGTTGGCTATTTTAAGCGTTTTGGATCTTCTCAACGAAGCGAATGTAGGTGTTAATTCCATTCCTTGCCCAGATGGAGAAATAGGTGGCGGAGTTGGTAATATTGGCGGAGGAGTGTAGTGCAATGGAGTCGGCAATGGTGGTGGTAAAATAGAACACTCATCACAAATAAAAAGGGACCAAAACCATCAAAGCCAATTTGCAAGCAGCGCATATGACCAGAGACACTTAAGCATTTCCAACATATTTCCATATCAAGTGAATATTCATTACTGTTGCACTTGTAACATGGATCAATTAAACTTCCAATTCCTCCTATATTTGTAAAAAAAAGTATATCATGATTTTTTAAAAGAAATGAAAGCAAAAGAATAATTTAATAGTTATTTAAGTTTACATATCATGGCCCAGTGTGTTAATTCGGCCCATTTGTAATGTTAAAAAAGAAATAAATAGTGGAGGCCCAATAACCGTCCGTTTTTAATCTTTCGTTCCCATACACCCTACCCCTATCTGCCACTGCCTATGACTTTCTACATTTCTCTACAAACCTCCACCTTCGTCCCTCAGTCGATGAGCAATCACCGCCTCCTGGAATCGTCTACTATGGTTATCTGGTTACTACCGATCTTGACTCTGGCATCTGGCTGTGTTTTTGAAGTACTCTGACACTTAAATTTCAGCAAGGGGTAGTTTTTTTTCAATTTCATGCTATCTCAGATCTGATTTTTTCTCGTCTTTTCACATCCAATAATTCTAGATCTTGAAATTGGGGATATATACATACAACCTTTGATTTCAAACATTAGACTTTTTTTGTTTCGTTCTAAATTTTCAATTTTTTTAAAGTGCCAGATCTGTATTTGAGAAAACCAACCATCTGTGAAAAAAATCCATATTTCTTAAACTGAATTACACGTTTGTCCGAAGATTTTTATTTTTCGGTGCTTTTAAAATCTGGAATGTTAATTCATGTTTTTTAAAGCTATTGTACCTCATTAATCATGTTCAATAATCTATGAACATGTTTAAGGTTCAATTGCACATTAACATATCCTTTATGCTAAAAATAATTATAATTTAGATTTACCATCTCGCTTGATTAATTTTATTAGTACCTAGAAAGATTTTACATATTACTCATTAATATTTCATATATGAACCCAGAATATATATATTTTTGGATATGGTATATAGGTATATATATGTTTATATATCTGTATCCAATTTGAGATAAAAAAGCCATGATATACTTTTTTTTATAAAAACAGTATTCATATTCTCTTATAGGTAGTAGATATCATTGTTTTAAATAGTCATTAGACCTCAATATTCATGTTCAGATTACGGTTTGATCATGATAAAGGCTATATGGCACATTACCAGTTTCTTATGGCAGGAAATGAGTTATAAAGGATTCACTGAGGGTCTGATACTAAGAAAGGTAATTCCAAACTATTATTACCTAAGTATTAAAAAGGTCATTCATGTTTGTCTCGTTAATGAATATGACATTTTGACTCTACATTTTATATTTTCTATCATACAAACACACTATTGATTTCAGATCATCAATGTTAATCAATTCAACAAATTATCGTAGGTGTTAAAGTCACCTTTGTCTGGTTCATCTTCGAAATGAAGAAATGGATTGATCCTCTGGTTTTTGGTAAGCTTTCTCATCCCAAATGACTTAGCCGTCACAGGTAACCTGATGCCAATATCATTAGGGTTAATTTAGGAACATTAAATTTCATAATAATCTAGAATTAGAGCTATTTTCTTAGTCATCTCATGTATTAGTAGAATTTTAGAGAATTGTATTATTCCGGGATTCGAAGGTAGGCAGAAATCAAACATTCACGGGGGCTTATATTCCAAAGAATTTTTATCATAATTAGGAAATAATTTTTTTTCCGGACACATTCAATAAAGAACAAAAAAAGGGTAATGAATTACTAACCTTAGAATTGGATATATGAAAGGTAGATAGAATTACTCAAGCTCAACTTCAATGTGGTTGTTGGTTGGGAAGATTAGAAATAAATGAGCCAAGAAGAGAGAAGTAGTAAAAGACTTGTAGTCATTTATAGTGTATTTAATGCATGTAACCTAATTAGGCATATGCTAGGTCTCTGGGTTTGGATGTACACGGCTATAATATATTTTTTCACTGCATTATTTTAATGTGAATTTCTCTAAATTTTTTCACTCTACCATTTTATATTTTTTTAATGTCACTTAAAATATTATTATATTTTAAATATGAATTTCTAATATTATTATAACACACAGACATATATATATATATCTATATATATATATATATATATATATATATATATTTTGGTTCTAGTGAGAATGCGATCTTAGGAGAGAAATAAGAATGAATCTGGTGCTTTAAATGGTAGGGTTTTCCCATCGCACTTTAGACAGCACATTGTTTTATTTCGCTGTCTTAAATGGTGCGGTGCTTTAAACTCATTCAAAAATAGTAGAAATTTTTTTTCGCTTACTTTTCCCACCAGACATTTAGAAGTCCGCCTTGTACTCCTAAAATCAAGATAAGGGGCCAATATTTTCTCTCTCTGGAGGAGCGTAGTCGGAAGTTGGTTCACGCAACATTATTTCCACAAACCCCTAGATCGCCATTTCCTTCAAATTTGTTGCTTTTCCTTGAAATTCCTTGATGTTTTGGAGTCTCCTATTGCAGATTATCAAGAACCTGAGCACTTTTTACCGTGGAAGGTCAATATTTGTCTGAATCTGGAGAAATCTATTCGTGATATTCACTGTTCATATTGAGGATTATCACCTTCGATTAACCAGGTAATTGGTTGGATTTTGCTCTAATTTTTTGGTATATTGGTCGGGTTTTATGTGTCTTTAATGGCATAGAATTGGATTCGTGATTCAAAAAACAAGTGCCGATCCCCCAAAAATCTTTGGATGCTATACTTTTTATTTCTTTGCCCGTGTTTTATAGAGCGCTGTTTTTGCTACTGTAATTCTTCAAGTTTGGTTGGAATTGTTTGGCAACTGTAGTGGGACATAAAAAAAGAATAATGAGAATACATGGTGTTTCTATCTCGTAGCTCCAGGGGTGAGATTTTTATTTTGTATCTTTATTTTTTCATCAAATATTATACACCTCTCGACAGTTTGATGATTATATTCTAATTTATTCTGACGTATAAATGGTGTTTTATTCCGAGTCATATCCCATGCCATAAAAATTTTGGTTACAAGATCCTTGCTTTTGATAACAATATTTGCTTGTGGATTGTGGATTCAATTTATGCTGTTTTTACCCCGTAAATTATTGGTTGTCTTACTGCCCTGCTCTTGTTCTTTGTTTTGTCTTTCATCAAGGTTTGCTGGTTTGGTACATTGGTTCAACTTGTGCATTGTCTAAGTGCCATGATCTTGTTCCAAAGCCCTACTATTCAATTTTAGGCCATGTGGCTATAAATTTTCATATTGTTTAGTATTTGGTATTATGAAAACCAAGAAGGTAAATTGTCATATGATTTCCTGGATATGGCATCACAAGCATACTGAAAAGTCAAATTATCCTTACCTTAGATGTTTTGGCTTGATGTTGATAAATATATTACCTTGATACTCTTTCAATCCCATGAAGTTTCAGAAAATAATAAATAATGGAGGGAGACAATTGAAAATTATTTTCACATTATGAGAAGGTAGTATGTGTGAGTTTCACAGGTGCAAGAATCTGAATGTGTTTAAACATGAATAAGTAGACGTGATTTTTCCTTCATCTGTGTAAGAAGTTCTATCCATCTAAAGTTGTAACGTTTTATGAAACTTGTAATTATGTTCTTAAATATTTTTTGTGTTTCTTTTTTCTAGACTGTACCGGTGAATCCTAACCCTTCATATTGTCATATACGAGTACAATTTGACTAAGGAAGCTATTGTCAAGTTTGTGATATACTCTCAAAGGTGCAATTTTTTCAATTTTGTTATCATTTACGTTGCTTTTACATGATATATATCATTGTTTGATAAGAGGTTCTTTTATTTAGAATTTAAAGGTGATTTGCAAGTGGTCTTGAGAAAGTTTGTTTCCCTACTAGAAAGGTGCAATGTATTCTTCTGTGGAAAAAACTAACATTATCTTTGATTTTCTAGTGTATGCATATTACAAGGTAACGATATTAATTTTTTCCAAATATAAGCAGGTTGCTCTAGTTATTTTAAAATTAAGAGCATGAAACCAACCCCTTCGGATGTACATTGAGATATTTTGTTTTTTTCATCTTAAGGTCCATTTGGAAAAGGAGAAATATGGGCTCCACACTCTTTAATCAAAGGTTACAGGGTTTGTCACAAATTCCACTTACTTAAGTAGAAGTTGTTCAGTTAGGATAAAACTACCACTAAAAACTGAGACCTCATGGTATTTTATAGTATTTTAGTGGAAAGTACATTCTGTAAAAGTGAATTCATGAAAATAACTTTTATATCTATGTTTTCTTCTACTTCTTGATAGTGAAGATGTTTCAAGTGGATGGGCAGATGATTTTGAGCATCTTGGTGGATTGCTGAAATGGAGACTCTTTTATTCGCTATATGAAGTCTGTGTTGCAGCTATGTAGTTATTTTGTAAATTTATACAATACTCTTGGTTCTACACCTTGATCCACATACATGATAGGTTTTAGTTTGTGTGTAATGGGTTGTAATTTGTACGGAGTAATATTTATGTTTGTTTTTTTCATGTAATAAAATATATTGTTTGTATGTATATTGTTTAAAATTGCAATAGCTTAATAAAAATGTATGTGCATATATTATTGTATTTTGTAGTAGCTAGTCTAAAATAATATTAATTTTTTTAAAATAAATAGTGACTTTAGACATTTGATAATTATCTGCTTTCTAAACAACTAAGTTTACACAGCGAATAAATTTGGTTTTAGACAGCGAAAAATATCTTGTGTGTATCCAGCCGATGGGAAAAGTCCTGGCTTTAGACAGTGGATAAATATCTGATGTCTAAACTTTACACATCAGATGTTTATCCGCTGTCTAAAGCCATGACTTTTCCCATCGGCTGGATACACAGCGGATATGTTTCGCTGTCTAAAGCTAAATTTTTCCGCTGTGTAAAGCCTGTTCTGTAGTAGTGGATCTAAGGCTCAAAATTGCATCAAAATTAGATGCACCAAAATTGTTTGAAAATGCATCACGCTAAAATGCACCACAATTCTTTGAAAATGCACTATCTCAAAATCTGAGCGCAAGATGAAATCTGAGCCGCACGATGCATCAGATCCAACGGCTAGATTTCATTCTCATTTCTCTCCACAAGGAGCATTCTCACAGGAACCGGCCCATATATATATATATATATATATATATATATATATATATATATATATATATATATTTCAAAACATTAATGTACGTATATTTAAATCAAAATTCGAATTCAAAGAGGTAGCGTATTTTTAGTTTTAAAGACACATTTTAGAATAAAATGTATGTTTGGTATAATCTTTTTTAAAAATAAAAAGGGAGATCTTTTTTTTTAATTTTAGTTCAAAGGTGGTGTGTAAGTGTCATTTATTGTGCCCTGATATGCAGTCGGCGTGTGGCTCTAGGCGTGGGCTGTTAGTGTCCATGGACTGTATTTAATGCTTTGTACCTACGTAATGATATGCTATTCTTAGGCGTGTGGATTTATACTTAAGGTCTATTCTTTCACTAAAATGTTTTCTATTTAATATCACTAAAATGTTTTTTATTAATATTTATGTAAATATGTTTCTGGCACTTTAAAAAAATTTCAATAAGAATATGTATTATGAAACATACAGTCATAGTGTGTGTGTGTGTGTGTGTGTGTATATTCAAAAACATTAATGTGTATATATTTAAATCAAAATTCAAATTAAAAAAGGTAGCGTATTTTAAAAAACGAAACAAAAAAGCATAAAAAACTTTTTGAACTTCACATATTTTTTGTTTTAAAGACACATTTTAGCATAAAATGTATGTTTAGTATAATCTTTTTAACATTTAAACAGGGAAATCTTTTTTTTAAATTTTAGTTCAGAGGTGATGTGTGAGTGTCATTTATTGGGCCTGATATGCTGTCGGCATGTGGCTCTAGGCGTGGGCTGTTCGTGTCTATGGGCTGTATTTAATGCTTTGTAAAATACATAATGATATGCTATGCTTAGGGGTGTGGATTTATACTTAAGGTCTATTCTTTCACTATATTGTTTTCTATTTAATATCACTAAAATGTTTTTTATTAATATACATGTAAATATGTTCTTCAAACATTAAAAAAATTTATGTATATATATATATATATATATATATATATATCTGTTTATATATATATATTGGAATATTCTTTTAAATTTTTGAAAACAGAAATAAATCTCATATTATATTTATTAATTGATATTTATATGAAGGTTAAATGACATTAAATGGGCTAGATCCCTGTTGGTGTGCCGATGTAGGTGTGGGCTGTCCAAGTACATGGACAGCCAAATAACCACGTCAATAGCCGATTAAAAGGCCAAATAGCAAATATCGACTCCATACAAACGCAGGCCTATACCCAAAACTATTCTCGATTTTTTAAAATTCCGACAACATAATAGGTCTTTCATACCAAATCCCACTCAATACGAAACACAATCTCACAACATGAGAAGTTGAATATTTTAAACGTTCTTAATCTTTTATTAAAATAATTTCAAAGTGATTCATTAATTGTGTTTTTAATAACCAAACAACTTTAAAGTTTTTGATTTTCTTTACTTCTTTTTTTCAACTTTCACGAATATTAAAAATACTTTATTTTTAAATTCATTTTGAATATTATGAAAAAATACTAAAAGATCATGAGTCATGCGTATGGAGTTGTACAACAAATTTAAATTGCGAAAAATAAGTGTGTCCAATCATTCTCAATGCTGGTTTATAAAAACAAACATTTATTGCACCTTGAGCCGCTAACCTTGAGCCACACGCCGAATACACTTTTCAATGTAATAAATGACACTACAAAAAATCCGAATTGATGCATCCCTTTGGTCTATCACTAATTTTTTTAAATAAAAGTTATAGGAATTAAAGAATTTTAATCCCGTATTCTATGTTTGGTGATTCAGGTTATTTGTGGTAATGTTAATTGTTTTATGCTATATATTGTGTTAGCATATTCTCATATATTTTCGTGAGTATATTAATTTAAGCAGTGTTAGGGAATGCTTATTTAGTTCACGTTATCTAAATCTCTCAATTTATTGTATGTAATTTAGAAATGCATGGTGAAAGATTTTTTATGCCACAAATAAACTTAAAATAACATGAGTTTCAAAATTTTAAGCCAATACCATAACAAAAAAGGTTCATAAACCCGAAATTGACCCACACCATAACAAACCGCATCACAAAAACAGGTGGGGTATTTAAACATACAAAATCACAATGATTTTTCAGACCCAAGGAGTTTGATGTTCAGTCTCTAAGAGTTTCCTTTTTCATTTTCTTGCTAGCACTTGTTGACATTTCATTAAATAGATCCCTCTTCAAAGGCATCTTTTGATACTTTTCTTGCAGATTCATAAGAAAATTGTCAAATTGATCATCACGGCAACATGTTTCTCTGTCAATATTTTCAAAAGACCTACCATCAATTCTCCACTGCGGATGTATTTCACCCAGATCTATTCTTCTATTCAAGTTCTCTCTTAATTTATGTGCACAAGGGAGACCCATGGTACTTTGAAAACGTCCTCTACACTCATCTAGCACTTTATCAGAGGATGCCAATTTATATTGGCTTAAAAGTTTTTCAAGCGCATGTTTAGAGACATTTCCAAGAAGCCTACAAAACGAAGGAACACGAAAACCATGTGATGTGCGAATTCTTTCACACTGAAGTTTTATCTTGATTTCTTTGACTTGATTTTCAATGGAAAGACAAACTTTTTCTTTTACCTCGCGAAGATTACCCGTTGATACTTGAAGATACTTTTTGAGTGTTGAATGAGCACCCTCTGCTTTTGAACTTGCATGATTTCCAAAATGCAAATGTCTTTCTCTCCATGCAAACACAAATTTTTCTTTGTATGGAAGCCAACTGTTTCTGATATATTCAATGGCCAATGGCTTCTCTTTATGATGCTCAATTAATAAACTCCATTGCTCATTGAAGCTAAGTTTGTCAACAGAATATATCACATCATTCCAACTTGACAAAAACTCATCGAATTCTTCACCTTTCTCAAAAATTTCTTGCATTTAGCAAGCACATTCTTTTGTATATGCCATACACAAAGAAGATGTATAGTTTGTGGAAAGACTACCTCGATGGCATTCATTAATGCTAACTCTCTGTCACTAACAATAACCAAAGGAAAATTCTCAACACCTAAGATTTTTTTAAATCTTTCGGGAGCCCATATGTAATCTTATTCTTCTTCCTTCTGCATGAACACAATGCAAGAGAAGAATGATGTATTAAAACTTGATATCCCAATAATATCAAGAAGAGGCATGTTATATTTATTCGTCTTGTATGTGCAATCCATGATAAACACATAAGGAAAGTTCTTTGTCAGCACCATTGAGCTATGATGTATGAAAAATAAATGCGTTAAATGATCACTTTCATCACGCTCAATGTCAAAAATGAACCCACCATCACCTAGCTCCTCAAATAATGCTTCAATCATGGTACGCCCTCCCAAATCTTCTTTTTTTATCTTAGCTCTTGCATTGTATATAGTTCTTGAATTTGCTTGAGATTCGGATTGCTTTTACGAAGTGCAGACATAATTTCCCTAGGTGCCAAGCCAGCCATGGATAATGTTTTTACAATCTGCATGTCATCGTTTGAAAATCTACGACACATAGATGTCCAGACATGTCCTTAGAACGCTCATGATTGTGTGATAAGTTCTTAATCTTTATCACCCAAACACTCCCTTTTCTCTTTCCCCATACCTCAAACGGACAATTTATGAGACGACTACCAGTAAATCTTTTTCTCTTATCTGCAGCAACAGTGACACGGTGTGTTCCACCTCTATCACAACCAAAAATCACATAATAGTTTGGTTTTGATTTTCTTATAACCGCCACATATCCTTGTTCTAAAGCAGTTTCTTTGACATAATTTTGAAGCTCAACACGACTCTCAAATTGTGTGTTACACGAACCCAAAAAAACATTTGATTCATTGTTTGTGTGGGATATGTCACCTGTAAAAATTAATTCTACTTAGAGTTTATAACCATATAGAGTGAGTTAAAACACTTTAAAACCAAGTCAGCTTTGATTATTTAGGAAAATCTACCCATTTATTTTTGAGAAAGTAAGAGCAAATGGGGTTGTTAGAGAAGGAAAAAGAATAATTTTTTTTTAAAAAAAACAAATCGAAACATAAAAGAACAATAATCTTCAAAGTGCTTGTTAGAAATTAAAACTATTTTTACTTAAAACATGCGAAATTCAATTAACAAACCAAATTAAAACTTGACTTTAAATCTTTCCAAAATACATAGTATTGCACAACTAAACCCTAAGCACTTATATGCAGAATTATCCTTCAAGTAAGATATAACATCACACCAAATACTTATTATATTTACTACACCATAAATTTGTAAAATAAAATAAATTAAGTATAATTAATTATAAATAAACTAACCTCCAACAATGAATTCTTGACATATTTCTTCTAGACTCTTGTTTTTCATGAGATTTATTATGCTTTCTAACTGAGATTGGTCATCCAAATGATTTGAGTGAGACTCAACATCCATCTCGGAAAAAAAAAGAAGAGGAAGAGAGATGAAAATTGAAAGAAGATGAACGAGTGGAGATGAAGAGAGTGTGTGAAATGTGGTGGGGTGAAGAAGGATAAGATGCTAAAGTATCAATAGTTGAAAGGGTAATTTTGGCATTTAATTAAAAAGTGGAGCGCAGGTAACTTTGTTGGAGCGCTAATATCAGCTTCCTTTTTTAACCTATAAAAGGGCGTTTTGGACTTGTTTCAAACACACAATTCTTCACTAATTCTAAGCTTTTATTGCATTTTTCTTGGTATATTTTTGAAGTCATTTTTGAGCTATTATTTTAAAACGGTTGGTGTTCTGGAGTATTGTTAGTAATAAGAAATGCGAGAATCACAAATATACAAATTACAAAATACACAATTTCATTATTTGTATATTTTACCTAGAGAACAAAATAATTTTAAAGAATTAAAAAAACAAAAATTTAAATATACAAACATTTTTGTGTATTTTGTAAATTCTGTATTTATAACTCTACCCGTACTCTTTTAAACGTTTTGTGAGCTTTAAGTAGGTTTTATGTGTTGTAAAAGGAGAGAAAAACTACTCAGAGATTATGAGAATAGATATAATATACTTCTGATTTCTTCTCTCTATTAACTCTTCACTCTTCTTCTTATTCTTAATGGTGATTACAATGCAGGGATTAGGCCTCTATTTATAGTGGAGAGCCTTGGTATGGATACAAATACAAGTGGGAAGTACTGTACATAATTGATACTCATCAATGAGTGTCTTAATCTACTATTCTAGAAATTAGTCCTGATTAATTGAATAAATGAACAATCATTAATTTCATAACACTCCCCCTAGAATGTTCATTTTTCAATTAATGATGAGTACTTCGTGAAATGGACATAGTTTAGTAACCCATTCTAATTTTATGTACTGCCTCGTTAAAAACCTTGTCAGAAAAAACTCAGTGGGATAAAAACCTGATCAAGGGAAAAAGAGTACAGTTCATAAAATTCTCTCCCTCAGCTTAGCATAATTGACGGAGGCGACGCATGCCAATCTTGTGTACGAGTTCTTCAAATTTCTTCGGGGGTAACGCTTTTGTAAATAAATCAGCGAGATTCTCACTGGACTTGATTTGCTTGATGTCAACTTTTCCATCTTTCTCGAGATCATGTGTTGAGAAGAACTTTTGTGATATATGCTTTGTTCGGTCTCCTTTGATGTAACCTCCTTTCACTTGAGCAATGCATGCAGTATTGTCTTCATATATAGGAGTCGGATGACTAGTAATTGTTTCTATACCGCATCCAGTCTCGATATGTTGGATCATTGATCGCAACCATACACATTCTCTACCTGTTTCGTAGAGAGCTATCAACTCCGCGTGATTTGATGATGTGGCAGTCAAAGTTTGTTTCATCGATCTCCATGATATTGCGGTATCTCCATAGGTAAACACATATCCTGTTTGAGATTTTGCTTTTTGCGGATCAGACAAATATCTTGCATCAGCGTATCCAACAAGAGTGGCCTTGGCATCTCTGCGGTAGAATGAACCAAGGTCGATGGTACCATTGAGATATCGCAAAATGTGTTTAATGCCATTCCAATGCCTCCTAGTCGGGGTCGAGTTGTGTCTGGCTAACAAGTTCACTGAGAATGCAATATCTGGCCGAGTGTTGTTTGCTAGATACATCAAAGCTCCAATAGCACTCAAGTATGGTATTTCTGGACCGAGTATTTCTTCATCATCTTCACGAGGTCGGAACAGGTCATCATGTACATTAAGAGAGCGAACAACCATCGGGGATGTGAGAGGATGTGCTTTATCCATATAAAACCGCTTTAGAACCTTCTTCGTGTAATTTGACTCGTGGATGAATATTCCGTCTTTCAAATGGTCAATTTGAAGACCAAGACAGAATTTTGTTCTCCCAAGATCTTTCATCTCAAATTCTTTCATGAGATATTTTGCAGTATTTTCTATTTCATCAGAAGTTCCAATGATGTTTAAATCATCAACATATACTGCAATAATGGCAAAGCCTGATTTAGATCTACGGATGAAAACACATGGACTAATTGGATCATTTTTGTATCCTTCTCTGAGCAGATATTCACTGAGACGATTATACCACATTCTGCCAGATTGTTTTAGTCCATATAGTGACTTTTCCAATTTTATGGAAAACATCTCTCGAGGTTTTGAACTATAAACCTCAGGCATCTTTAGCCCTCCAGGAACTTTCATATATATGTCAGTATCGAGAGATCCATATAAATATGCTGTCACTACATCCATTAAACGCATTTGAAGTTTTTCAAATACAGACATGCCTATCAAAAATCTCAACGTAGTT